AAGTGAAGAAAAGATGGACAACTATAAGTAGGTGTTAGAGTGTTTAAATTTGACACTAGATGAGTGCATGCTACCACGTGTTATAATTACCGACAGGAGAGTTGGTTCTCATGAAAGCATGCGAAAAAGATTTTTCGAATGCTACGTGATTGGGACTCTTTTCTTTCGGCGTGGAAGTTACTAGACGATTCTCCGACATGGATATCGTACATGGAGAACTACAAGCAACTTCAATTAGTATTGAGGAAATATCCATGTAATTTTTTATATTTGACAAATTTTTATTTTTTAATATTATTTTTAATATTTCATATCAAATAATTATATTTTAATTTTATTTAAATTTTTAGGTGTTTTAAGTTATTTGGATGAACAATGGCTGAATAATTATAAAGAAAGGTTTGTGTCTGCATGGAGTGACCAGTCTCTCAACTTTGGCAATCGTGCAACCAACAGAGTTGAAAGCCAACTCGCCAAGTTAAAAAAGTACTTGAAATCTAAAAAATATTCATTAGATCAATTTGTGGGCTATATCAATCAAATCGTGCAGTCCCAGGTTACAACAATAAATGAAAGCTTTGAAAGAAGTAGAATTTATCGTTATCATCAACATAACCAGCCATGTTTCAACTTATTACGGGGTTTTATTTTGAATGAGGCTCTTAATATGATTTTAGGAGAACTACATCGATTGAGTGATCTTGAGTTTAACTACTCAACATGTGGTTATCAACTTCGTAAGAGTTGTGGGCTACCTTGTTCTTGCGTACTTTCAGCGTACTTAAATTTCGGTCAGTTTATTTAACTAAAATCATTTGATTATTTGGAGGTCTTGGTTTTTTAGAAACTAAAACTTTTTTTTCAGGTGAGGATATTCCTTTGGATTCAATTGATATTTTTTTGAGGACACTATATGTTTCATGGTCAATATCCTTGGAAAATGAAGATATTCAATGTGACGATGAACTGCACATTTTCAAAGAAGAATTCAAAAGGCAGTCCAACGCTGGAAAGAAGAGTTTTTTAAGAAAGCTAGGCGATATATTCAATCCAAGCACAAATCTTATTAGAGAACCCGCAGTTAAAAAAATACTCGCGGGCAACCAAGCTTGAAGAAACAAAAAAAGAAGAAGTGTGTTGATCCGAAAAATCAAGATCCTGGTAAAAGTAGTTACTCCACCAAATTTTTTTTATATAGACTTGAATTTGGAACCGAAAAATATTGAAACGGCGAGACACATTTCATATGTAAGAAGCACATGCGACTTGTTCCCGGATTTAAACGAAAACCCGCGAGACACAGTTCATATGTAAGCCAGTAGTGTGCCAGACCTGGCTCGGAAAGATTTTTGAAACAACTTCCACAAATTTTTTGTCCTTATCTTATAGGTTTATAAGATGTAATAGGTGACGGAAATTGCGTATTTCGATCAGTCGCTGTCGCTCTTGGTCTATCTGAGGATCAATGGCCTCGAATTCGGTCAGACTTGGTGCCGGGAGTTAGATGTTAACCAGCAAAAGTATAAGTATATATTTGGAACGGCAGGTTATAAAAAAATCTATAAAACCGTACAATTAGCTGAAAAATGGATGGAAATGCCAAACACGGGATTGATTATTGCTTCTGCATACAATGGAGTTGTTATAAGTCTAGCCAATTAAGGAAACGTCAGATGATGTACTACGATTTTCCCGCTTTGGTCCAGTCCACCACAATCAGAGCCACATGGGACAATTGTCATTGCACATGTAAATGATAACCATTATATTAAAGCGGCATTACGCGAAGGTTGTCCTTTGCCGATGACTCATCCACTTTGGATCACATATAAAAGTGACATTGCATCTTCATGGGAAGACCCATATGTAGTCGTCAGGAAGAGTTTCGTGAATATTATTTTCGTATTCCTGAAACTTTTGACCTATCGAAGTAATTATGTAACGTTCAATTTATTGTAATTCTAGTTTATTTATCAATGAATGTTTTAATATTTGCTTTTTTATACATGTATGTATAATTAAATCAGTAAAAAAGATAACAAAAATTAAAAAAATCAATAATTATTATCATGTTGAAGAAATAAATGAAAAATACTTTAACAAAAAACTTTAATAATGAAAAAGACCTTAATAGAAAACTTTAATAAAAAATAAAAAGACATCATTATTACATAATGATAAAAAGTTTTAATAAAAAAAATGAAAATAACATAATGATAAAAAAATGGTAAGTTTATTAAAAAGATTTGGTATAGGTACATTCCCAGCGTGGTCAAAGGGCATTGAAATCTATAACCCCTTATCAATAGACTATAAAATACCTTTAATGCCCTCTGGCGCCCTAAAAATTATGGGTAGATTTAATGTTGTGATTTTAGGGCATACTATAAAAAAACTAATGATGCTCCAATTGTGTATTAACTAATGATATTATTATTAGTGTTCTTATTTTATATATTTATAATAATTACTCATCATTTATGGTTTTTATTTCTTTTTCAAAAATATTTTCTAAATAATTCATAAACATATTTTAAATTATGTGTGAACATATTAAATAATATTATCATTAACATATTCACAATATTCACGAAAATAGTTCTTTTAAGTTAAACAAGTCAACACAATCATTTAAAAATTATTAACAATACAAGAGGTAAATGACATTTTAGATCACCCAACTTAGTATCAATTTGCATATAATTTGCAGGTCTTGAATTTTATCAAATTATATCTTTGAACTTCTGTTATTAACAAATGAAGTAGCTACTAACAACCAATTGGTTTAGTGGGATTTAGATCACTTAAGTAAGGTCAGGGGTTTGAACCTAGCGTTTACGAATGGAACAAACTGGGTTAGGAGGGTTGTCCTTGCCTCTACAGTACTCGATCTGGATTAATCGGTCAATAGACCAGATACTAGTGATTAATTCAACAAACGAAGTCACCTGTACAAATTTTATTAAATGTTATTAATGTAACAATTACCTCAACATGCATCCGTAACTGAGTCAACATTTCTATTAGAATTACTCAATAGAGTTAGTATAAGTAATATAAATTGTTAATAAGAAAAGTTCAGTGATGTAATTTGATAAAATTAAAGGTTAATGACTTAAATGAAAACTAATGCTAAATTAAATGATGACTTAGAACATAAATTATTTCAAATACAAGTCAAACAAATATATAAAGAAACATGAAAAAGGGCCTATTCATTTACACTCCATAATTTACAACCTGAGGCGAAACCAAGGGGTCAGATGTGACCCCTAAATGGTTTTTTTAAAATAACCACATATTTTAATTTATTAATTAAATAATTTGGATCAGATACTGTAGAAACGAGGGTGATTCTCACAACTCAATTTGTTTCATCCGCAAACGTCAAGATTTGAATCCTGACTTTTGTTTAATGGATCTAGTGCCTCATCCCACTAGACTAACTTATCATTGGTAAGATGACCCCCTAAATGATTTTTTTAGTGTAACTACGTTTAGATTTATTAATCGAATAATCTGAATCGGGTACTACAGAGGCGAGGACAACTCTCCCAATCCAATTTGTTCTATTTGCAAATGTCAGGATTAGAACTCCTGACATTTGCTTAAGAGATCTAGTGACCCCCTAAATGGTAAAATTGTACGTTTAGTCTCTCTAAATTTCATAGTTTTAAGATAATATAATAATAAAATTACCTTTTAACCCCTATAAATGATAAAATTTTAATTTATTCCTTTTAAAGTAATGATAAAACAATATATTTTAACTCTTCAAAAAATTATGACTTTCTACTAGCACTCTAAAAAGTATTTTAACTTGGATCTTGCTATAACTAGGGACAGGTGTAAAATTTTATATTAAGGGTTCAAACCTTTAGAAAGTATATTATAAAATATGGGTTTGAAATTACAAAATTTCAAGAGTATCAAATTAAATCACCAGAAGAAAATACATAAATTATATAAAAATTTAAAATTTTCAAAAATAAAACCTCCACCAACACTCTTCATCTATTCCTATTACAACCCTAAATTAATCTTGGAACCTAATGCCTTAGGTTACCATTGGTTGTCCTCCTAACACTGGCGGAACCACTGGGGGCGGATGAGAGAATAGCCCATTCCAACTTTTATGGTTTAATTGTATTTTAAACCCTTAAAAGTTTTGAAACCATTAAAATTAAGCCCTGACTCTCCTAAAATTTTTGGGTTTAATTATTTTCAAGACATTATCAGTTTTAAAGTTAAATGAAATTAAGTCTTGTCTCTAACTTTTTTGGTTTAATTACTTTTTAGGATATGATAATTTTGAAATTAGTGAAATTAAACCTCAATCATCTATTTTTATGGTTTAATTACCTTTTAGAACCTTATTAGTTTCAAAGATAATTTAGTCCCTCCCATAATTTCATCCTAGTTCCGCACTGGCCCTAATACCTCACGATTGCCACCTTTGAACTAGTACTAACATCATCCACAAAACATAGCTAAAGCTTCCTTTCCTAACTCCATTCGATAGGTTTGCACGGAATAACTTGATTGCTTACAATTTATATATTTATAGAATGAAACCCCAATTTGTTAAGAGTTTTAGCTTCGACGTTACCTTTTCTATAGAAATGCTCTGACAAGTGACAGCTTATTTCTCATAACATCCATTATCTGCAGATTATAGATAAGATATGTACGGATTATTGATTCTTTTTTCTTACAATGAAAACCCATTTTCCGGCATGTATATACCATATAACCATAAGTCATGTACTGGATATTTGATCCAGTATTTCAATTGATTAGTACCTTGTCCTTTATTAGTACTATGATTAGCGTTTGTCGATATATATGAACAACGAATCGTGGTAATTTGCATGCAAATACCAAAAGGACTCCACGATGCAATCTCAATGGCTACAGGGAAATAAAAGATCAAGATAATCACGGTAAACACCCGTTTTTGTCCTGGTTATAATAATAATAATTATTATTATTATGTATGTTTTTACATTTTTGCAGGCTTCACAAAAAAAGCCCAAACCGGGCCCAATTACAAGCAACCCAACCAAGAGCCCAAGAGCAGCCCCAAGTTCGACCCGATTATATCCTAGATCCGACCCGGTTGTAACCAAACCCGAGCTATCCATGTCTCCCACGTGTAGAACAGCTCCCATACAGCTACTCCACGCCCGACAGCACTCTGACCGAGCAGCTCAGGTTCCCTATCACCCACGCCCGACAGCACTCCAGCAGCCCACGCCCTGCTCCACGAGCACGCCAACAGTGGCTGTCGCCCATGCCCTGCAAATTTGGCACCAACAGCAGACCCGAGGCTGCCACAAAGGAAAGCAATTAAAATGGAATATCAACACAACACAGAAAGGAGGGGAGGTGTTCATCAACAGAGAAGAGGAGAATCATCAGGGGAAAAAGAGAGCATTACATTGTGAGCAAATTCGGTGTAATAGAAGAAAAGACTGTAATCGTTCTCATTTTTTACACAGAAAATACAAAGCTAGAATTCGATTTTCGAAGCTATGTTTACGATTCTTTCATATGTTCTTTCCTTTCATTTTGACATCGATTCCAAATAAACAAAAATCATTGTTAAGGGAATTCAACGAAAAAAAACACAAAATAGCCTAAAGCAACCAATCGAAACCTATCGTCGTTAGCCACCGTCAAGCAAAACCAAACCAAAGGAAGAGGGGTAGGCGCATACCTGGTCTGTTCGAGTGTCACTGAAGGAGAGAACCACTGTCGCCATAGTTGGGTGAGTTTGTGGTTAGTTGTTTGCACCCTTGCATGTCATTTTTTCGGTTTAGTTATCATTTATCGGGATTTCTAAACGAAAACAGAGGTGGATAAGGGTTAGGTTCTTACCTTAATGTTGCGGGCTCCCATGGCCGGAGTGGTGGTCCTCAAGGTCGAGAGTTAGATTTAGGTTTGGGGGTTTTCGGTGAAGGTGTAATGAGGGTCGGTTTAACCCTTATCGGGGTCGTGACGTGGTGGCCAGTGATGGCCCTGAGTCTTTTGGTTGTCTCGGTCGAGAGGGAGAGAGTAGATAGGGATGACAGAAACGGCGCTGAGAGTTTGAGAGTGAGAGGGGTTGCGGCTGAGAGAAAGATAAAATGAGCTAGGGTTATTTTTTAACCTAAATATTATATATATTATTTCATTAAAACGGCAACGTTTTAGGAGGTGAGCGACCCGTGTTTGAGGGAAAGAGGTAAACCGTGTGAGCAATCCTTTTATCTTCGCAATGTTTCTGATTTTAATTTTCAGGTTTATGAAATTCTATTTGGTCCTTAGTTTGGTTAGTGTAAATTTCTACTTATTTACGCATTGAATATGCCATCTTTGATGTTTTTGTTTCAATCCCGCGTAAATATGGGTTATTTCTGATTTTGATGCTCGTAATGTTATTTGGTTACATTCTAATCACTTGTTGTTGATGGAAATATAGAACCTGGTACCTAGAATATGATCGTTTTTGTGGCTCATGACTCAATGTTTAGGCAATTCATTATTTTAGGCTCAGATTTGTAATTCCCTTTCAATTTAGTCACATATTTTTACCACTTATTTTTTTTCTCACAATAGCTTGTCGTTTGCTTTCTTTAGGTTGTTAACCTTAAGTCTGTCCATTTTATACTTTAGTCAATGTTAAGTTTTTTTATTATGCAAATGCATGAATGGTTAGTTAGGGTTTTCTTCGAATGTATGGTTATTGTATGTTTGAATGAACATATGTTATTTTAATTATGTGGTTCATAAGCATAAATTTAGATGTAATTATCCTTTATTTTAATTAATTTTTGTATGATATCCTCATGTGCATAACTTGATCAAATGGCATAATTGGATTAAGGGTAATAGTCTTTTAATTTAGAATTGTTTTAAGTGGGTTGTCTTATCTCATTAGAGGCTCGCTTTCAACGATTTTGAATCAAAATTGTATTCCATTAGTGACACCTAAAAATTGATTCATCACTTTAAAATTTGGGAACGGAAGAAAAAGAAATGTTAGGCTATTTAAATTTGTCGAGAAAAGGTCATCTAAGATCTGGTCTCGATATTTTTAAATAATCGAATATTCTTTATCATTCTAAAAGGTTGGGTAACTTTAATTTAATATATTTTAGTGTTTTTAAATATTGTGAAATTCATATTTTGTTGTTTTGCCGGGGATCATAAATTAAATTAAAATCGAATTTATAAATTTCATTGCAAACACGTTAATTAATCGACTAGGTATCGATTTAGGGCGTTATGGGGTGCTAATCATTCTCACACGTTACCGACTCCCAAAATCATTTTCTGGTAACACAGAATTTAATTTGTTGTTTTAATTAAAATTAATTTTTATTTAAAATGAAAACATTTTTGGGTGCCCAATCACACCCTAATCAAAGATTTGTGACGACTCTTCGAACCGTATGTTTTTATATCGTAAAAGAATTTCTGGATTTTTGAAACGAGAGGTTTTCTAATCACATTACTTTTTAATTAAAAATTAATCACAAGAAGAAATTAAAAGATGTGTGGTTTTTCAAAATCTCACTCTTAAGAAAAAAGTCGTTTCGACAGCTTGGTGACTCTGCTGGAGACTTTTTTTTAGAGAGTCAGACCTATAATCGATTAATTGATTGTCTTTGCAATTGAAAGTTATAAATTCGTTCTAATTTGGTTTTTTATCCCCTGTTTGGTTTTAATATCGTTTGTTTATAATTTGATTAACCAATAAATAGTTGTACTGATCTGTTTGCTAATGGTTTTAGATTAATTATGTTTAAAGAGGATTAATGGTTAATTTGAGTGTGTTGTGATTATGTGTTGTTTTATTTTCGTTTTTCCTCACACACTTCACAATTGCATTATCATAACATGAGCTAAAACCCCGCTTTGTCCTATTCAAGTAGGAGTGAGAGACTACTCTCTCGTGAGGTTTTCACCTTCGCATGGGATAGTGGATCACTCTTGGAGCTCACGCTTTATGATCCTCGTGAGGTTTTCACCTTCGTATGGATATAAAGAAGTGTGTTCCCTTGAAATTGAACTCGGTCCCAAAAGCTTGTGATGGACCAGGATTAAGGGTTTGGTAGCCCAAGGGGGCACCGACAAGGACAATTCGAGAACCTAATACTTTATAACCAAACCCAGCATATTGTGAGCCTAAACTTAGGTCGAGCCTGACCCAAACATTAGGAGTACCATGAGGAGGGTACACAAGGAAAAGCTTTTTGAGTCATTTACTTTTCGTTTTTTTCGAATAAATGCATGCGAATTAGAGATTATGTGGTTAGGTTTATTTTCAAACAAGTATGTGAATTAGATATCATACGGTTAGGATTTTTTGGAAATGACAAAGCATGGGGGTTGATATCATGTTGGGTAGGATTTGCTAAAATATGATTGGGTAGTCAGCATGTGAGGGTAGGTTTTATTTAACGATTTTGATAATTATTATATTGTTGTTTATCTTATGAGTACTAACCCATATTTTGTTTTATGTCTATTTTATTTTGGATTTATTGCATTTGCATCTTCATATCATTCAAAGGTGTTAATTCGTAAGTGATTGACTAATAAGAAGGTTGATCATTATGAGACAATAAATTTTTAACCATGTAGTCAAAATCAGGATATCCAAAGATGTTCAAAGGATTCATGAAGAAAGACATCCGATGAATGAAGAAGTTTAAAGTTGATCGAAGACTTCTTTCAAATGAGCAAAGGCCAAAGATGTTCCCTCAGGAGATAGATGCAGTAATACCAAGGACGAGAAGATCCTTCACAAAGGCATGAAGACCACTTTGCAATGAAAGTAAAGATGAAGATCTCAAGATTCAATTTAAGGACGTCCGACGTCATCAAAGGTGATAAAATACGCCGACAACTGTGGGGTGCAATGTTAGATTCCATGAAGAGTACGGTTCAAGGAAATAAGAAATGAAGAATCACAATTGTATTTTGACTACATGGTATAATGAAATCTTGTTGTCTAAATAATGGTTGTTCTATGGTGGTCACTTTTGGAATTAACACCTTTTGCATTTGCATTTAGCATCCACATCCACATTTGCATTCGCATTGCTTTAATTTAAGCATTTTTACATGCATCAATCATGAAAACTTAAGAGTAACTCGAGAAAGATATTGTGATAGAAGCTTTGAAAGCAAATTAAAGTTACTCGGGCTGTGTTTCTGGAAAGATAGAAAACAATGAATGAGATATTAGCGCGTGCTGGTAGGATCGAGAGAATTCATGAGTAAAAGTTGGAAAAGGGTTAGAAAGTCAATTGCAAGAACCGATGAATCCAATATGCCCTATTACTAAAAGAGATCATTTTGGTTTGGGATACCAACCAACTTTGAGGGAAGAGCTAAGGGGAATTAAAAAGGGTCAGAAAATGAGAAATGTCAGATTGGCTAGTGAAGACCTTAGCTGGAAACTCATGACCTTCCGACCATTAAGCATCACTTTCATATCATGAGGGCATATATTTCAAGGAAATTCGAGGAGCAATGATGTGATGGTTGAGAATTCCTTGCGAGATTTAGGTATTAATGTTTATAACTGATGATGAGTTTGGAGAATTGAGAACTACGGGCATTTACCCTGCACCACAGGGCTTCGTGTTGAACAATTGGACCGCAGAAAAATTGCCTGTAGTTTACAAGTCTTTTACAGAGTAATGCACTAGAACTTTCCCCTGTTGTTCATATCTTGGGGTAATGGGTGATCTGATGTAAAGGGTTAAGCTGTTTGTTTTTACTTGCTTTCAATAAATGATGCATTCCATTAGTCCAAAATGGCAAACATTCTCCCATGCATTTCAGTTTTGGTTGTATATATTATTTCTTTCTATTTATATGGAAAAGATTCTCCTATATATATATATATATCTCTTATCTTATGTTATTCTTTTAGGAATTCAGATATCAATAATACGAATGCTGATGACCCTGACCCGAAGATTGATTTCGAGATGCTCATATATCAAGGGGAAATTGAAGGTTGTGATTATGATAAAGGATGTGAACTATCTTATGAATTGCTAAAGATAGTGGAAAATGAAGATAAACAGATTCTGCCTCATAAAGAGCTTATTGAGATTTTGAATTTGGGGACAGATGAGGATAAGAGAGAAGTAAAGATTGGTACCACTCTGTCTGTTGAAAGATGACATGATTTGATATAATTGCCTCAAGAATGCAATGATGTGTTTGTTTGGTCATACGAAGATATGCCAGGTTTAGATATAGAATTGGTTGTCCACAAACTGTCGATAAAGTCTGATTATAAGCTTGTACAACAAAATCTGAGAAGAATGAGACATGAGATGCTGCTCAAGATTAAAGAAGAAGTGATAGAACAATTTGATGACGAGTTTCTTAAGTTGGCTAAATATCCTGAGTGGGTGGTGAATATTGTCCCAGTGCCAAAGAGTGATGGGAAAATTCGAATGTGTGTCGACTACAGAGATCTCAACAAAGCTAGTCCAAAGGATAAATTTTCTTTTCCCACACATAAACACTTTAGTGGATAATACTATTGGAAATTCTTTGTTCTCATTTATAAATGGTTTCTCTGGCTATAATCAAATTAAGATGAACCCTGAAGATATGAAAAAAATGATGTTTGTTACCATGTGGGGAACGTTTTGTTATAAGGTCATGTCGTTTGGATTGAATAATGCAGGGGTAACATATCAGAGGGCCATGGTGACGTTATTTCATGATATGATGCATAAAGAAATAAAAGTTTATGTCGATGATATGATTGCCAAAGCCAAGACAGAGGAAGAACATATTGGGAATTTAAGAAAGCCCTTTAAAAGACTAAGAAGATGTCGGCTAAAACTCAACCCAAATAAATGTACTTTTGGAGTGACATCTGGGAAGCTTTTGGGATTCGCAGTGAGCTGAAAGGGAATGGAAATAAATCAAAATAAAGTAAAATCCATTCAATATTTTCCACTCCAAGAACACAAAAAGAGGTTAGAGGAGTTTTGGGGAGATTGAATTATATAGCTCGGTTTATTTCACAGTTGACCGAAAAATGTTATCCCATGTTTCGCTGCCTTCTTCTCAAGAACAACTCAGGGGAATGGAGT